TACAAGCTTTAATTTTGTGACTTGAACAATTATTTCTAAGATGACAATATGTAATCCATTAACTAGTGATTTCCTACTGTTCATTTTTTTCTGTAAATCTGTATAACTTCTACCCTTTCCCTGCTTTTTTTTTCTTTTCTCCTTAAATAAAATTAAAAAAAAAAAAAAAAAAGAAATTAAAAAAAAAAAGGCAGTCTCCCTCCCTGTAAATCTGCACCATGTACAGGCCGCTGTGGAGACAGCCAGACACTAGCCTTTTCCTGTGAGTTATTGCCATTTGCAGGCCAGGGAAAGAGAAAAAGAAATTACCAAGAAGCAGGCCTTCTCTATGAACTGGTGCCATGTGAGGGCTGCTGGGGGGACAATCAGATTTCAGCCCCTTCTGATATGTGGGCTGGGAATAAAGAAGAGCCACCCCAACCCCCACTTCCCCTGCTACATAAGCAACCAGTTGATCCAGAGAAACACAGGCTGTTATAACGGCTATTGAGGTCGAATTTAACACTGGTAATGTTAAGTGTTTCATTAACTTTGAAGGTCTAAAACTGGTGATATGGTCTATTCAGTTGACAGCAATACACAGTGCAGCATCTATAGAGGATTTCCTTCTGAGGGTAGGGGTCATTGTTGATTCTCTGTTTCTCCTTTTGAAGTCCCTGGTCATTATTTTTTAGGTTGGGTTTTGCTTTGTTTTGCTTTATTTAATTGTATTGTATCAGATGGCATGGGCAGCTATTTTGAAGATGGAGAGATATTGTAGTAGCCATTTTGGATTTGCTGTTATCTTGTTTTGAAGTCCTTTATTACATAAATTGTTTTGATTTTATTGGTTCTATGTTGACTTGTTTTGTTTGATATTTATTATGTCTGAAGATATGAGCAGCTATTTTGAAGGCAGCAGGAATCATTATAATAACTATTGTTGATTTCCTATTGTTTTGAAGTCCTTTGTCACTCACATTGATTTGTTTTGATTGGCTTTATTCTGTTTTGTTTTGCTTGGCTTTATTTTTAAAATAAAAATAAGAATAAAAATATTTTTAAAACACAGCCTCTTCAACAAGTAGTGCTAAAAAAAACTGAATATTCATATACAGAAGACAAAAACTTGATCATCATGTCTCATCCTGGACTAAGGTCAAATCAAAATGAAGCAAAATCTTATAGGAAGATATGAAACTCTGAAAATACTAGAAGAAAACTTAGGGAAAACATTTCAAGACATTTATACAGCTAGTGATTTTTTCTGGAGAGGGCTCTAAAACACATGAAACAAAACCAAAATTTGACAAATAGAAGAAAATGTTTTCCAACTACTTACCTGACAGAAAGTTAATATACACAATATATGAAGAATCCAAAAATTTGACAACAAAAAATCAAGTACCGCACTTTTATAAAATGGGTAAATGATCTGGATGAATAACTCCCAAAGAAAATATACGAATGACCAATGAATATATAAAATGTTCAACATCTTAAATGTTCAGGGAAAGTCCAATCAAATCTACAGTGAGATATCATTTGATGCCAGTCATAATGCCTGTTATTAATAAAATAAAACTAGTGAATGGTAGTAAGGAAGTGAAGAAAAAGATAAAAGACCTGGTGGCCTGGTTTAAACTCTTAGGTTTTATGGCCAGATTGCATCTTCCTAGCAAGGTTTTATTTTTTTCCAGTATCTAATGTTCACTTTTTTTTCACTACAGAAGGAACTATGAGTAACAGGGTGGATTTCTCATTGAATTATGCACTTGCCAACATTTTAAAAGATATCGTTCTGTGCATGAAATCTTGAAAAGTTGCTTTCCTCCCTCGACCGTGTGGAATCTCTTTAAGTGTAAAAACCTTGTCTTCATCAATTTAGAATTCCTCAGTCACTACAGAAAAAATAATTTATATAGTTTTTACACAGTTGCGTTGAACAGTCAGCTCTCTGTGAGAATATGCAAACAGTAGGTGAGCAGAAGGACAAAGACCTCAGTTGGATTCTGGACATTTGCCTTTTCCATTATCGTCTCTATTTCAATCTGCTATGAGGTCACTTTTCTCTGATACCTTGTTTGTCCTTCAGCAGCAGGCTAGCAAGATAACTCACACATTTCCTCTTTATTTGTTGATTATTACTGCTTTATGGTTCAAAAAGATTTCTACTCTTCCTTAAAAATATTGGTGTTTTTTAATCGCTGAAACTGTCAATCTAGTATCTCTTTAAATTTGCAATTTTAGAACACTTGTGTTCATTGAGAATATTCACTATAATGAAATCTCTTTCAACTGTAAATTACAGAAGCCCAACACAAACTAGATGAAGCAAAAAGATGATTTTGTTGACTGATGTTAGTAGCTGTCAAAGGGAAACAAATTAGTTTCCGATAAGGGAGGAATTAGGTGCTTAAGAAAGTCATGAGATTCTCTTTTATATGCATTTGACTTTGTGTTTCAGTACTGGTTGTCTTTGAGTTCTGTTTTTATAGACATGCTCTCACCACAGCCAAGCAAGATGGACATGGAAAGTGCTAGCTACTATATTATCACATCTTTAAAGGGAAAAAAATCCAAAATTTATAAAAACCTCCAAGTCAATGTCTGTAGAACAAATATATATTGTTTAAATACAAACAAGTAATCTGAATGCACAAAATTATGTTGTGTTTCTCACTAGGAAATGAATTGCCTTTGTGGGTAACAGACTCATCAAAGCTAGGAAGGTGATAAAGGAGTAATGCTGTTTTGGAAATAATAGTGATCAGTCTATATAAAGTTAAAAACAATAATAATTTGATAAATCATAAAATACCTTCCTTGCATTATAACTATGTGAAGCTGACTTAGATATTTCAAAGGTTTTAATTGATAGAAAAAAATAAGTACATGGAATACTGTAATTCATTCTTCAAAGCTTTTCTTCTTTTTATGCGATTTCTCATCTTCCACATAAAACACTGGTGAGCATTAATTAACTAGAGAAAAAGAATGCTGCTATTACCACAACCACACTCTGCGTTGAAGACATCGACTACTTACTTAGATATCAAGACATGTATTTGATTTCCTGTCCAACAATTAAATAAAGACGCAACCAAAGAACTAAGGTATATTATATTACAATGTTAAATACTTTATTGACACCCATAGCCATCAAGAATGTAGTTACCTCACATGCAGCCTACTTCATCTTTTTGCTTTAAAACTCAACTTGCACTGCCTAACTTCTTACATTCTCAGTTACTTTCCTTAGAATTTCTAAAATATTTATTATATAGCTTAAAGGCTAGAAACAAGTATCTGTACATAAAAGATAACATATGTCATGATCTTTTCAGTTGATCTCTTGATTCCAATGCAGATTCTATGTCCTACATCATCTAGATCAGTGGTTCCCAACTCCGGACAATATTGCCCTCCAGTGGAGATCTGGTATTGTTTGAAGATGTTTTTGATTGTCATAGATGAATTTTCTTAAAACTAGTGCATTGAGGAGAACAATTTTATTAAACATCCTACAGTGTAGATGCACCTAATAGCAAATTTTTAAAAAAGCTAAAATATTCAACCTGGAACAGTTTGATAAACCCTGATCTAGATTAATAACCCCAAAGAATTATCAAAGAACTACTACACTGCATATATTACTGCATCAGTGTCCACAATATACTAGAACAGAAAGAATTGTAAATGGGAAAAATTCAGTATCTTTCAGGCACTGTCATAATTATTTTTCCCATTCTATTTTTAAGCTTCCTTCCCTGTTATGGCATTTCAAATGATTTCTCAGATCTTCAACAAAATAAAAATGTGAAATAAAATGCACAATGCTTAAAACTCAAGCATCCCTGATTGTATTTATAATTATGTATTTTACTAGAGCTGTGACTTGGAAAAGGTATTTAATTGTTTAGAATTTTGTTTTCTAACCATTTAATATAAAATATCTTGGCTAACTGTTTTATTTTTCATCTAATAAAGAAGTCTAAAATGTAAACAGAAAAATGCAGAAATGCTACAATGAAAGAAGATTGAAGGATCAGGAAATCTACTGATTTATTGTGCTCCTTTTTCCAGAATGGTATCACAAGGGAGGTTTCTCTAAATTTAATTCACTAATTGGCAAGTTTAATGACCTCTATTTTACTATGTAATGGATAAGGCATCATATATCCATTTTAAGCCCTCATTTTATAATATTTGGCTTTGTAAATAATTTAACCTAGCAAAACAACCAAATTGCTTAGATATAATATAGAAATATTTTGATGTTAATCGCATATAGGGCTTTTCAGAAGTTAAAACCTGCAAGCTTAAACACAGTGCCAATCTAAAGCAGGTGACATTTTAGGTGATGACATCATGTTATTTCTATCAAGGTTTGAGGGATGATGACTTATTCAAGACTTTTCTGAAGGGCTCTAAATTGCAAAGATATAAAATAACACATATTCCATAAACAAGAAAAAGTGCTAGAAGATCATATCCAACAACCTTCACTTGATATAGGGAAAATATTTCTGAAAAATAGAAAAAAAAAGATAAGTTCTGAAATCATGAAACAAAATAAAAATTACAAAACAATATTGTATATATTGACCAGCGGAATACTTAATACTGTTCATAGTAGAATCTTAAAATAAGTTTTGGGATGCCAGAAGCTGAGAAAGAATAACAAGTAAATATACTATTTTCTTTTTCTCCATATTTCTCTCAATCAGCATTACCGATTTTGTTTGGTAGAAGAGGCTGTTAGACTTCCTTTGTGGCATTTTTCTTCTGTGTATTTCTGGGAAAAATGAAAATGTACAAAATCTCTGTGGCATTGTTCTGGCAGCATATATGCTTGACTTTAGAAGTGCTTTGTTTATACTGAAACATTCAAAGTAATAGAGCTCATAGAATGATACCACAAAATAGGGTCTTTTGGAGTACTGAATATTTTAGACCAAAGGCATCCGAGCAATAGCACTTGTAGGAAATGACTTTCATTTTTCTGTCTGTCCCTAAAGCAGGTCACATGATCATAATATGAACAGTGCCATTTCTATACCCAAAGAAACGGAGAACCCCTGTGCCTGAAGATGAAGAGATGATCAGAGGTACCTAAATGAGTAGGCCTTGATAAGCTTTTACATTTTGATCCTCTTTGTACTCTCATCCTAAAATATTTTTCCATGACTTTCCACTCTTCATCAAAGCTTATTTCAAAAACATTCAGATTTAACCATTTCCTTTATTCTTCATTTTTTCTGAAGGATCCATGTGATATAAAACTTATGTCATATATATATATATACACACACACACACACACACACACACACACACACACACACACACACATGCTTTCATCTTCTTAGTTATTTATCAGAGTTCCTGGTCCAGAATCCAGAAGGATGTTATATGAGAATGAGGATCACTTTCCTCCCTACAGTTTCACATGACAAGGGTGGCATCCCTTTAGTAGCACATGCTCATTCTAAATGCTGCGACTGAGATCTGGGGCCTTTGGCACACCCAGGCTAAGGTGAAACTTTTGATTGAAGTGATGCTTCTGGATATTCTGGATATTTGGAGAGAGATTAAAGCCTGTTTAACATTTTTCTTTCCAAACTCAGATTAGGAAAAGGAGAGAGAGAGAGAGAGAGAGAGACAGAGAGAGAGAGAGAGAGAGAGAGAGAGAGAGAGAGAGAGAGAGAGAGAGAGAAAGGATTGAAAGAATTTGATCTTTGGATTCTGACTCTCATAACTGTGGTTTTGAATACTCAAGGTTATTGATCTGTTCCCTCGAAGTGAGAGCAATCATCCTGTTTTCCTAATTTTATGTCCTGAGAGCTTATGCTTTTCTAACAATCTTTGATTCTCTGTGCTGGAGAAAAGTGGGATTAGGCCTGGCATTAAGCGTTTCTTGGACTGGAACCCCAACAACATGTAGATGGCTGGAAACGTGGGCTGCACCAGATTTGCAGCTGATGTTCCACCAACTACAGCTAATTCTTGGAGATTTGTCCAAATCTTTCTTCATATTATTTTTGGCAATGGCTCTAGAATATAATGGGTACTTCTTTTGCTTCATTTTTGAGGGATACCTTTTACACTTGTGGCTAAATTCAATAAAGATTTATGAATTTTGAATTATGGTCACAATTAATATATCTTTGAAGATTCAGAATTAAAAGTTAAAATTATTTCTTGAGAGGTTTCAGCCTAAACAGATATCATACTGATATCTATGGGAAGATCTTATTGAAAAGAGGGAAAAGTTACAAAACATGGAAGAATCTCTTAGCTGGTATCCTTACCAGTGGTCCCCCACAAAGAAGATGAGATCTCAACTTACCTCACATATTAGACTCATTGACTCATTGCAAAAACGCATTTAAAGATATGTCAGGGAATGGAACATCAAATATATAAGCCAGAGTTAGAAAGTAAAATAAAATAGGAAAGGAACTTCCGCCAGAGGAGCAGGAGGAGCTCTGATGAGAACGATCAGATTAATCAATCACTGATAAAAACAAGATATGTTTTTATGTATTAGCTGAGGTTGCCCAGTGTCCCAGTGAATCATTATCTCTTTAGTTTTGGTTTTTTACAAAGCTGTTGAAGAAGTCTGTACAAGATAACTCTTTCTGCTAGGGGAAGTTTGATCCAGCCTGTGGATCAATCCATGGGGTGTACCTGGAGGGGGACGGGGATTAAATAAAGACATGGGGGAGGCAGAGAGAGATTGAGGCAAGTTGAGAGAGTCCAATCAAGCCCCATTTATTCCGGAAGTGATCACATCTTTTATAGGCCAGGGGTGGGTTGCAGGACAGGAAGAGGCTACGGGGATGAATACAACAGGGTCATCGTCACGTCTGGGTATGTGGCGTAAGCAGGAGAGGATTATGGTTAATGTAGGCAGACACATTGTGCCCATAGGAGAGAGAGAGAGAGGCAGGGAGGCAGTTTTATTTCTGTGGAGGACATCATGGGAGTCAAGGTGAGAATAGCTTTTATGCAGTAACTGAAGCCTTCTGTTCACCCATTGACAGTTGAATGTCCTACAGTTTCCTTACCTTGATCTAAGGGGAATGAGATGGGTTATATAAATTCAGGGCTGATTAACCCTGTTTTGCAAATTTTATACAGATATTCCCTAAGGTTTACAATGTCTAAAGGAAGGGCTAAGCAAGGGTCTGACCCAAAGTTTTCAAGTCATAAAGAAGACACATGAAATGAAGGTCAACCACGTCTTTACTTTAACTTACTAATTAGGTATCTGTAGAATAAAATTAAGGGTCACTGTTTTTAGCAAAGGCTACTTTTAAATCTCTGACAGCCTCAGAAGCGAACACAAATCATCCATTTAATTGGCAAAAGGGTAAGGGCCCAGGAGTTTGTCTTCTGTCTTTATGGCAGAAGTGTGTCACACTGACACCGTGTGTGTCAGTATGAAACTGGAAGATTGGTAGAAATATAAAATTCCCTTAACAAAAGTAGGAGCCGGAGATCAAATTTAGTACAAAAGAATTCTAAAAGACACTCAGAGACTCAAATAGGTACTCAGAGCTAGAAAATAACTGTTTTAATGTTTATAAATTTTACGTTTTTCTAGAAACTATAATCAAATGCCTTCAACTCCAGTCCTTCTTATGAAAAGTATAAATATTCACTGGACTATATTATAGTTATGGTTAAATAAGTTATCCCAGGTTTATGATGATAAGCAAATATGTTCTTGAATTTTTTTTAAAAACTAAAATTTTCTTCTCTTGAAAATATAAATATTACCATTTCTTTGAAACATAAACTGTTAGATAAGTCTAACTTTTTATATAACAAACACAAAAAGTAGGCATTTTACAAATAAATTTCTGTTTAATATTTGCATAAGGTCTTTCATGGAAAATGTAGTCTACAGCCTCCATGATGGCCAATGAAAATCTCTTTTTTAAAATTTTAATTACAACAACAAGGGCTGGGGATTTAGCTCAGCGGCATAAGCACCTGCCTTGCAAGCAGGTGGTCATGAGTTCGATCCTCGGTACCGATAAAAAAATTTTTTTTTAATTAAAACTGAGCATGTAACCTGGATTTGTTCTATGTGCCAGAATCAAATTAAGGTGAAAATGAGAATCCACTCCAGCAAACTAATGATATTTTTTTCCATATTTACACCTACATCATACTGAAGATTGAAAATAAGTTATAAGTTCTCTGCATTTGTCTTTATATTTATGTAAGTTTATATGGATAACATGTTATGATATATCAACTTTTGGATGATATTCCAAATTAGTTTCTTAAAATCTCCTAAAGAATTTCTATTCAAGTTGTCTTTTAGGTAAAGAGCAGTTATACAAAATAAGCATTCCTAAGAATCTCAGAAGTATGGAAACTAATTTAAATGCCATACAAGTACATGTGACATGAGTATAATTTTTCACAAATAAGATTGGGATAACAGTGTTAGTTCAAAAAATAGCTGTGTTCTGAGTTATCAAGAATAAGTGTATTATGAAAATATATTCTACTTGGACTTACTACTAAAATAAGGGTGAAAATAGTTAAAAGATAAAGAACCTGAAGTTATGAGTAGCACTGCTTGGTGTAATAAGTCTGTCTGTAAAATCATAATTTTTAAGATTATGCAATCTTGGGCATGGTGGCCCAAAACTACAGTTCCAGTACCTGGAATGCTAGGGTGGAGCACTGATCAGAATTCAAGGCCAGCCTAGACTACACAATGAGCTCAAGACTAGCCTAAAGACCCTGTCTCAAAAACAAGACCCTGTCTCAAAAAATAACACTAAATTGAGTGATAGATAGTCACTGAAAGTCTGTATCAGTTTTGAAATTAAGTTTTGAAATTAACTACTAAGCATACAATTATACAGTATTATCACCTTGTTTTTATGCCATATAGGGGAGCTAAATATATTTATGCCATATAGGGAGTTGCTAATAAACGTGAGAAATTATACTTTACAGAAGCATATGCCCGCAAGAAATATGAGAAGATATACTCATAAAATCTGGTAGTCTGCTACAGAATGCAATTCACCACTGTTTATGTCCTTCTTTCCTCTGTAGAAGAAAGGTTACTAGTGGTTAAAAATTATAATCAGTATAAAATAAAATACTACTAACGATAAATAAGAAACTCACTATGCAATACACACAAGAATCATACATGTGTTTTTTAGAAAGCAAAGTAAATAAGATATGAAGGATAGGTTTTATTAAAAGGGGGGGAAAGAGTAGTTTTATCTTACAGTAGGATGATTGATTATTTCAGAATGAAGATTATGACAGATTCTGAATGCCAAATTGTAGAGTGTTTTCAGAAAAGAGATTTATCTCATTCAGTTAATCTGGCTATGATTAAAGTGAATTTATTTTAAAGTTCTCAAACGAATTTAAAACCAATGATATACCTATACTAAAGCAGAATTTAGCTTTTCTCTGTTAAAAGAATAAAGGTTTTGCTACATAATAGTATTGTTATGGGTTGTGTCTAGATAGTCCCTAAATTGTCATGCCTTTGTAGGTGGAGCTTTTCTGAGGTGGCTGGATCTATGGTGTGTGAATATGGATTAAGTTTATGTGATAACTAAAGTGGTTTAGCATAATTCTGCAGATGGATAATGAGAAGACTTACCCTGGGTGTGGGTGTCAGCAGTCAATAGGTTTGCATCCTGAGTGGAATAAAAGGGAGAAGGAAGCTCAGTGTGGCTGCTTGCTGTCTTCTGAATCACTGCTCCTCTGCCATGTTGCCAGTTGATGGTGGACCAAAACTTCTACAAAGAGTGAACTAAAATAAACTTTTCCTCCTTTAACTTTGTGTGCCAGGTATTTTTGTCTCAGCAACAAGAAGAGTAAGATATTTATTTTTAGGGCAATATAATTACTTTGTGTAAGGTCAATAAAAATCTGTTTTCTTTGTGAAAGTACACACTATAATTGGAAATGTTGCTTATATTAACAAGGCCTTGACTGGTGTACCATGTTTGAGAACCAAGTACATAGAATCTTCTGTGACCAGCTACTCTTAGGAGGTTTACGCACTCAAAATTAGTTGCTTATAAAGGTGATCTATTAACTGGTTTACAAATTTCTCAGATGTATATGTAAGATCATTTCCTAACAAGACCACAAATGGAAATGTTTCAGATTTTGAGATGAGAAGAATTTATCTAAATCTCTAATTGTTGCATGAAAAGTCTTATGTCAAGTTCCTGGTTTAATTTTCTAGTGAAAGGCTCTTAAAATTTGAGTCAAAGTTTTTTGATAAAATGTTCCAACAAAGAAAACTATAAAAATGACCACTATTGTTGCATATGTATGAATAAATAGGCTAAACAAACTGAGAGAAGACATTTTTATAGACAAATTAGTCCTCTGTTTGAAATATGTTTAATGGAGGGAGAAAATCATTTTTTCAGGGATAATTACAACATATCCTTTGGGTTACCTGACTCTTTTACTCCATTTGTTAAATTTGAAATTTTATTATGTACCTCAAAGTTGATTGAATTTTGCCTATTTCTTTTTCTTCCAAAAGCTGGCTATAAAGTTAATATTACATTATTCTTTCATTTTTCTTATTTGACAGTATTGACACGAAAACCTTAATGCTCATATCATTAATGAACATTTTAAAATATTACTGAAAGCTAAACCAGGGAATTTGAATACACTGCTGAGATACATCCATAAATGCTATCATAACTAGAGGCATTCAAATTGGAAACCAGAAGATTCACTGGATAGTCACTGGTGTCTCATTCCTTCTTTCAAGGGTAAATTTGAGCTCAGCTTCCTGAAAATTTTTGACTGTACTCTGGATGCAGAAGAAGAGTTTATATCTTCTTCTAACCACTCCTGTGCTTATGAGAATGTGCTTTCTTGACAGCCTTATTGCTCAAACTATAAATTGGTAAGTATTCCATTCATACCTACACTCCACTTTCAGAAATCAAACGCAACTACTCGACTGGTCCAGTGGGATATGTGTCTGGACTGTGAAACCTCTTAGGGAAAGCTTTAGATGAGCGAATGACAGTGTTCAGAGTGTACTTCCTGGAAACATGGTGTCTTGGAATATATAAAATATTTTAAACTTCAGGAATTTGAGAAATGACAGGTGCAAGAATGACTCTTTCTCCAGTAGCAGATCATAAGATTGTCTTGGCTCTCCAGCTGCGGTCGTGTTGGAGTGGAATGAAATACAGGAGTCTAAGCACTAGATAGCCAAGAAAGACACTGAAGCAAATTGCCCAGGTCCTCTGAGGGTTAAAAGTAGCCAAGGTAGGGCTGCATGGTGGCCATATACCCTTCCAGGCAGCAAAAGAAAAATTAGAAAGTTAATTGCCTGTCTTCTGTGTTGAATTCAAACAGTATTTGTCCTTTGAAGTATCAGATTGTTGCCCTTATTTTCCTTTCCTTTATATTGTAGTGTCTTAATTTTTACTCAAATGTCTTAATTTTTACTCAAAAACAAAATTTCCTGGGTACTATCATGTATTAATTCTAAAATTTGTTCTTTTTTTCATAGAATTGATGATGAAAGATTCCTCATGAATGTTTACATTCTCTTGTGTCTAAGAAATTGTCTGAAATTTTAAATTATTTCTTCAAGTTAGTTCACTGTGAAATTCTACTCCAATCTTCTCCTTTATATATTTCAAGCCTTAGTTATCCATATTTACAAAGTTAGCAGAAATGACTCTGGGTAGGTTGATTTTTGATTATTCTTCACTTTTAACTTTCCAATGCTATAATAAAAATGTCTGAGAAAAACAACTTTAAAGGAGAAAGACACTATTTTGGCTCATAGTTTAAGTTGTTTCACTCCATGGCCACTTGGATCCTTTGTTTTGGGACCTATGGTAAGGCACATGGCAAAAATATATAGCTCATTGATTCTGAACCTCATGGCAGCTGGGAGGCAAATATAGAGACAGGAAGAGGTCAAGTCCCATTACCCTGGAAGGCCAGGGTATGCCGTCAATGGCCTAATCTTCTCCCAATTTGCCCACATCCTAAAATCTCCATCACTTCCCAAAGACCCATTAAACTATGAGCTCCACCATGGATGTATGCATTGACCATGTTAGAGCCCTTGTGGCACAGTGCTTTCCAAGGATGCACCTCTGAACTCTACTACACTGGGACTGAACTTCCAACATATGCACGGTTAGAGGGCATCTCTAATCCAAACCACAGCATTTCTCTTTTTTTGCTTTTCAAAATATACACGTTGACCCCTTAATACATTCCCCCTTTAGCAGCAAAAGTGTTTTTGCAAGAATATCCACCAATTCTAAATTTCTAATTTCAATGGTGTGTTTAAATTCTTCTTTGTGTGTCTCTATAATGTATATAAAATCATTCTTCGCTTCCTACTGTATTTTCTCATGTGTCTTTCAGTCCTCTTCATATATATCTCCACCAAAAGTATGTTCCCATTAAGATTTTTGTATTTATATTATCCCATTGGATTGTCTTGTGCAATCTCATTCACTACATGTTTTCAGTCATAATGACTGGGTACAAATGACTCTCAAATCAATATCTCCAGGCCATACTACAGCCTTGAGCTTAAGCTGGAGAATAAAATTTCAATGGTTTCCATACATTCTAGAGTTTATTAACACATTGCAGGTCAAAATTTTTGCTTTATTTCTTTTTTAAATGGTCATTCTTTGTTATAGTGATTATAATGATTCATACATATTGAGTGTATATTTGCCAAATCAAAGTGAATAAACCACATAGATTAGTATTACATATCACATTTTGTAGTCAACTTAATCTACCATTGGTCAATCACTTAACTTCTTCAACTGTCATTCACATCTGAAAATTAGAGAAGGTAAACTAGATCATTGCAATGGTCCCTATTAAACTCATATTTCTATTTTAAGAATTTCCCATTATTTTTTAAAATGTAAAACACAAAGCACTTAAAGAAGCCTTACTATTTAATTCATATTCATTCATTTAATACATATTCTTGAAAGACAAATTTGTATCAGATATTGGTAGAAATTTTAGGTAAGTAGAATGTACAGATAAGCGAAAGACAATGTATGAAACAGTAGCTTATATTACAATTTCAAATTTTATGGTCTCTGAGTGTGTATACATAGATACATAGGTGTAAATCATTCCACCAAATTTTATGTAAGTTAAAAGGACTTGCAAAGTGACCTGAAAATATCACAAATTTATTGTTAATAAACCTGTGAAGAAATGCACATTTCTAAACTTTTTTTTTTTTTTGTCTTTTTCATTTTTCTCGGTACCAGGGATCGAACTCACGACTGCCTGCTTGCAAGGCAGGTGCTTATGCCGCTGAGCTAAATCCCCAGTTCCACATTTCTAAACTTTTAATTATTCTGAAACACATAATAAAATTGATCTTACTTGCAAAGACTTAGAGAAGGTAGTCTTTCTTAGTAAGTATTTGGACCATTCTTGGAAATTATCTTTTATTCTTTTTTTGTCATAAATTTTGAAAGGATGACGGAAAGTCTGAGAGAATGTAATATTGTCATTATACTGGCTAAAAGGTTGAAAAACCAAACAACAGCATGTGCTCACCATGAGAGATAATTTGAAGGTTATGTTTTGGGCATATGGCATATAGCAGTTCATGAGTAAAAACCATCTGTGGAAGCACTGGATGACACCCTGCACTAATTTAGCACAGCATTTCAGAGCCATGTGTGAATCAACAGCTTCAGGAGGCTGACAGAGAATTAAACTTTACCTTTTATTTTTCAATGAGGTGAGGAACACAAAAAGAATGTGATAACTAATGTACACTGACCACTAGTGATAAAGGAATGAACATTACAAAGTAATTGAAAAGTTTGACAATGAGTGATGCAGGCTGACAGTCAGTACAGATTGACAATCAATAACGAAGATACACTATTACCCAACCGGCTTTATGTTTTTATACTTACTCTAAGTTATGTATAAGATACCACATAAAACACGGGTAGAGAAGCTGATATGGAAATAAATGACATAGATGCCTAATTTACACTTAACGTTACAGAACGTTTCTTGGTTGTTCTTGGTTTAATTAATGGAATTTCAGGCATAAAATATGGACAAGTGCTTTTTGGCCCCCTTTAGATGTTAATATCTTTAGTCACTAATTCTTTTTCAATACGGTATCGTTGATATATAGCAGAGACTGTGTATATGGAAAAGAGTTTAAAAAGCTGTGAATTTGTCTAAGCTAAATGAAAAAGGGAGTAAAATCGGTAATCTAAGCATCCCTGATATTAGCAATCCAACAAAGCATGGAGATAAAGTGGAATAACTTTTCACTGGTTTCAGCTTAACTATTAAATTAACTGAGAAGTGCAATTTCAATCACAAAACCCTAAAGTTATATTTCTCACCCGAGGATTACTTAACTATGGTATACTATTCTTATATTTCTGCTATCACCAAATGAACTTTATGCTTAATAAGAATCATTTGTGCTTTTTACTAAATCTCCCTTTTTTTAAGTGCATGTATTATTAGTTCTTTCATTATTTATGCAATTTAATGAAATATGGGTGTGGAAAGAGACCAGTTCCTATGATAATTTTAGTATTAATAGATGCAGGTTGAAAAAAATCTTCTACTACATGTAAAAAAATAAAAATTTAAGATTGGACAGAGAATGTAAATCTATGAAGATTTTTGTGTTACCTTGTTTCACAAATATATATGAGTTCTCATTTCCCTTAAAAATATATAACCTGGAAATAGAGAAACTATATTATGAATGTAGTTTTTACAAAAAAGGGGACAACTCAAGAAGCCAACTCATCCTAAATACTACCAAAAAAAAAAAAAAAAACAAATAAAAACAAAACAGAAAAGAAATGTAGCTCTACTTGAAAATATTGGAAAATCTCTTTTAAAGGATGTTTTCAGTTGTTAACAAGTTAGATCAATCATTCAAAATAAGCAAATCTATGGTACCATAGTCATTAAAATACTTCTCTTGTATCATTTCTTTCCTGTAAATCAGTTTATTTCTTTTTACCAATTGCTTCATTACAGATTGGGCATGTAATTTATTATCTCTGGTTAAAAAAACAAATTCAGCTCGGAATAATACAGTCTCTGTTTAGCTTCTAATTTCAGTCTTGACTTTTCCCATAGAGAAGAATAATGTTCGTATTATGATAACGTCTCTGGAGATATCACAATCTCAATATCCGAAAGAATCTTGTACAAGTAAAGATAAAAATCAATACTTGATCAAGAATCTTGAAACACGTTTAATGGTTTAAAACCACTGAAGTATAAGCTTTAAACAATCTTATACTTGTCAATAAAACGTATCAATAAAATTTTGTTGGTGTTCCTGAAGAGGTGCACCTTTTAAAATTATGTTCTGATGGCTGTTCATATGATAAATGCCCTAATGTTTTCTCTCTGAGAAGAATTTGCTAACAGTCATTTACAGTTGAGAGGAGACAGAAGATTGGTGTCTAAACACAGTACACATGAGGTAATGCCGAGCTCACACAGAGTGGAAGGGGGACCCCGAAGATTTAATATGCCTCCAAAGAAAATCTGAGGATGGGGCAAGCTTGCCAAGAAGCTAGAACCACCAATGTGAAAGCACAGGGATAACTCAATAAATGCCTGAAAGTGGATGGTCTGTGGCAGAGCTTGGATGATGGGCCCTGTGAAATTCAGACCTTCTGCTGTATCACTGCAGCTATGTGGATGGGAAAGGGAAGCACTGACCTCTGAGAAGTCAATTCGTGGCCTGTAAGCCTAAAGATTCAACAAAAAATTAAATAAAATAGGAAACCATGGGCCAGAGTTGAGCTGAGATGTGTTATGGGCAATCTGAAATTTATTAGAAGTAGAAAAGAGAAGAATGTGTAGAACACGAGTATTTTTCACAAATCTGTAGAGGCAGATCATCTCTGTGTACCTGAAGTAGACTCTCATCAGGAAAGGGAAGGATGGAACATTCTTGCATATGAAACTAACAGCCTCGATAATAAATGTGAACTATGATTTGATTCAATATTCACCCTCTGAAGGGCAACTCTGACTTAGAACACCTTAAGTTTTCTGAATGTCACTTGTGGAGAAATAAAGAAGCTATATTTTATTCTTCCCACATTTGAGCAAAAGTACACATGCCATTTTACACATTCACAAACACTGAAATACATATACACACAAATCTAGAAAATGAGTGTATTTGGGAGGAAATCTATGCTGATTTCATCACAGAGAAAATAGTATGTGTTTCACTGATTCTATGGAAATTGCAATAAAAGGAAATGTGTACTCCTTGTCTTTGTTTTACTTAATAAATTGATTCCTGGGAAGTTCTGAAAATTAGAAACTCTTTAATAAACCTACAAAAAGTGTTGTTAGTCATCGGAATTCATGCTTTAGAATTATTTCCCTGTATGTAAATATTATTAGCCTA